ACCATGAAGAATATTTTTCACGGGAGTCTTTCCCACTCCGACAGACCATGAAGAATATTTTTCACGGGAGTCCTTCCCACCCCCAGAGATAGGGCCTCACCTTGTTGACTCATGGCCTCTTCCTAGTGGAGGGTTCAAGTCTTTCCTGACCTTTTTATCCTTCCTCCTTGCTTACCTGCAGCATTGGCCAGAGTTCAAAGCTTTTGGTGAACCTCACATCAGGACCCAAGCCCCTTCTTGTGACCAGAGGTGACATTTGGGGCTTGAGATACCCCAGGGACCCCTGCTTGTGTGGTGGGGCAGGCAGGGGATGGTGCTTGCTGCTGTTGGGCAGTTGGCAGTGCAGGGGGAGGATGTGGGACCTGGGGTGAAGACAGCCCTGCCGTTAGGTTCTGGGCATCCTGTGCCGAAACATCTTTTCTGGGCTCTGCCTGCCAGCTGACGGCTCCAGCGGTGAGCTCCAGGGCAGGACGACCACACTGCTCGCTCCCTGTTGTCACCATATAGTGAGTCTCCCGGGGGGAGGTCTCTGTATGAGGTCCTCTGGTCTGGCTGGTCTGAGTGGGTGGCTCCCTCCAAGGTCAGCTTGGGGGGCAGAAGGGCAGTTCAGGAGGGGCAGCCCTTGGGGGTGGATCTAATGAAGAAAACAAAAGACGGGATGTAGTAGACCAGGTCTGGAATTTAGGAGCATCTTTTGAGTTGTTGGGGGCGTTCTCCCACTCCTCCCTGTTCCTGGGTTTGTTCATTCTTTATTCCTGCACTGCGGCTCTGAGACTGGGGACCTAAGTCCACAAAAGACCTAGAGCAAGACACTGAGAAACCTCTGCTGCCCCAGCTCCTCAGTACTAGTTTAATGCCTGCCTGACTAGCACTGATACTCTGCCTTGGTTACAGTGGAAATCACCGAGACAGGGCAGGGGGCTTGGAAGGGCGGCTCCTGGACCCACAGCACTGCCACCTCAGGCAGGTGATGAAACTGATCTAAAGTGGACCCTGGGAGGCAGGTGGATGGGTGTGGGCTGGAAATTTTTAAGGGATTGCAAAAACCCAAATCTTTATGTGAAATGTCCTGAGTGTTAAATGTCAGCAACTAATTAAAGAAAATTTTCAACTGTGTCTGGGCCAGGTGGTCAGTGGCATCTCATGTGGAGGGGATTGTCCCATGGATGAGGACATGGGAGCCCACAGGAACCCCCTGTCCCCATGATGCTCCAGAAGGAGTCCTCCTGTCCACCACAAAGGCACAGAGTGAGCGTGGAGGGGATCAGGGTGGCCTGCCCCTCTGGCCATGCAGATGGCTCCCGGAGAAAAGATGCACTGTGTGTCCTTCTGGGGAAAGGCAGTGGCCATGCTCATGTTCTTCCTTTTTTCTCTGCAGAGGTGTGTGGGGCCCTCAATGTCACCGTGTCCCCGGGGCCTGTGGTTGACTACCTGGAGGGGGAAAATGCCACTCTTCTCTGCCATGTCTCCCAGAAGAGACGGAAGGACAGCTTGCTGGCCGTGCGCTGGTTCTTCGCACGCCCCAACTCCCCGGAAGCCTTGATGGTTAAGATGACCAAGCTCCGGGTGGTGCAGTACTATGGGAATTACAGCCGCAGCGCCTTCCGGCAGAGGCTGTGCCTCCTTGAGGAGAGGCGCGGGGCACTCTACACACTCTCGGTTTTGACCCTCCGGCCAGCAGATCAAGGGCATTACGTCTGCAAAGTCCAGGAAATCAGCAAGCACAGGAATAAGTGGACCGCCTGGTCCAACGGCTCCTCAGCGACGGAAATGAGAGGTAAGGGCGTATCCGCTCTTTGGGGAGAAATGGGGGGACAGATCAGTGGTCCTTCCTCTAATCGGCGAGATAGGGGCCCCCAGATGGCTCTTCTGGGCTCATATGCATTTTCATGGCCTCTGTGGGCCATGTGAACCAGGCTGTGGGGACAAGGCTAGATCTTTCCTTGGACACTGGGGCTAACATGGAAGTAAGGAGAGGAAGGAGCAAGTGCCTGGCCCCATGCTGCCCAACATAACCCTGGGAAAAACCTTCATGTCTAAAAGATTGGACTGGCTGTGTGTGTACTTTTTCCCCAGCTCAGGTCTGTGCAGCCTTGGCTGCTTTGGCTAGAGGGTGCTGGGCATCCCTGGGAGGAGGCATGCATCGGGAGGTCCTGATGTCAGTTTCCAAGCCTCCGAGCAGGGCAGCCTGGTGGCTCTGATCTTTTGCCCAGAGGAACTGATCCAAGCCCCAGGCAACATCTCCCTGAGAAATTCATCTGAAAGTGGGCAAAGGACCAGAGGTAACCCTCCCTTCCTGGAGAATGACAGGAGGCATGGGCCGTGTTCTGGAACATCTTAGCTACCAAGCACCATCTTCGAAGGTTATCATTTTTTTATCACAAATGTTCTACAGTTTTAATAAGACTTGCTATTGTGTGCTAAATATTACATTTTTGATTGTTTTGAACTTGAATTTGGTCTGGTACAAGATAAAGAGGATCACAAAGTAAAGCTGATGGTCCCAAGTGTGAGAAAGAATCTAATTTTGTTATATACATGTAATATAATATTAAAGGCATTAGTGATGTTGTTTTGATAAGCTTTTTTTGAAGGGATAAAACTCAGTTGTGAAGAGGTGGTTTTTTTTTTTTTTTTGATAGAAGGAGAAAGGGTATTTTTAATATCCTGCATGAATAAGGGACATGTTAAAGTAGATAATTTATGTAGATAGTGGTTAGTACAACTTTATTTGCCTTTGGAGTTTGCTCATTATAATGTTCTTAAGCACGGAATGATGTATTATCTGAAATGTGCACTTTATCTCCCTAAGCAAATTCATTCAAGAAAACAAATGACTATTAGTATAAATATATCTTTTGGCACAGAAAACAGAAAAATGCATCAGATGGCCATGGGCTGAGGAGGGAATCCACTCTGAATATCACTTGGCTCCAAAACATAAGATCTTATACATGTCCTTTTTATGTTTCTGTCACCGTATGTTCTGGAACTGTGCGCTACACCTCTTGGTAGTGAGGACTCTGCCAATTAAAATAGATGGAAAGGTTCCCTGGATTCGAGTGCAGTCATCTAGTTCATTATTTAATGTGAATCTACTTTCATTGAGTGAAGGTGGGTTCCTTCTAGAATGTTTACTTAGGTACTTGCTCCCCGAATCTGAGGTGGTTCCTAGGATTTCACTGGAGATACAGACCCTTCTCCCCCGCCCCACCTTCCTCCTGTTCCCGCTCTCTTCTCTGAACCTCCTTTCTCTCCTTTCTCCCCTTTTCTTTCCATCTCCTGGTCCTCTCATTTCTGATTCCTCCCCGCCTCCCTCCCCTTCCCTTCACTTACTCTTTTCTCCCCCCGCCCCTTCCCCTTGTCTCTCAGTCTATCTGCCTCAGGCTCATCCCGCTCAGGCCCTGGAAGTTGTTCTTATCTCACCGGTAGAGCTGGGCCTCCCTGGCTGCATCGGCTCAACCTCAGAGCCTCCCACTCCTCACACCGTCTCAGCCTCTGGGCGGGGCTGTGGTTTTTTGAGGGGACCGTACCTTCTAGGACATTCCACGTAGGCTTCAAGGGGACTCCACCAGGAGGGTTAAGAAAAGGTGACTCTACATAAATGACCTGAAAGCAGACTGGCTCGTTTAGATTGGAACGTGTCCGCCCCAGGCTGGGGGGAGCGTGCGGAAGCTTGGCTCACTAGTCCTTCCTGGGCAAGGCGCGGAACAGGCCCATGGCTCCAGCCTCCCAGGATGACATTTCCCCAGGCCCTTTTCCTTGCTCACTTCCAGGGGCGATGTTTTCCTAAATCTTCATCTCATATTAATAATTGTTTTATGGAACAAAACCAAACACAATGAAAAGTTCTGTGGGCAAACACTTTTGGGTGATGACACCGAATAGCCATTCTCAGAAGTGTTTTTTGCAGTGAGTGCCTTTCCTCCTCTGGGCTCCAGAGCCCCTCTGTTCTAGGGAACTCAACTTTGCTCTCCTTCCCGCAGGCTTCTCAAGCCATTCACAGGACGGGGGGGGGGGGGAAATTTTCTCGGGAATGTTTTTAACACTACCCCTCTCCCCTGCCCTTGACCACGGACTGTCACACTCTCCTTGCATTGTTCTTTTTTTTTTTTTTAATTTTTTTATTGTTATGTTAATCACCATATATTACATCATTAGTTTTTG